GAAGGAATGCATTAATGATGTAATAGATTAAGTATTTCCTGGGTGGGTCAACACAATGCTTGCTATCATGGAGTTTAAAGCCCACCTGAGAAGAGAAGGTTGGTATATATGGAAGCGGTCATTGGACAACATCTAATAGCGGTGGCCAGAGCCACAGTATTTGACTCTGATAACTATTGTAGAAGGCCAGATCTTGGGAAAGATAGAGAAGGGAGATATTAGCGTGGGCTTTAATGGTTGGGGAAAACTTTCCTGAGAAGATCAGACTTAGAGTGAACCCAGAGTTCTGTCTCAGGGTTTAGAAAAATGCAGACGCAAGGGTGGGGGCAAGCACTGGGTTTGATACTAATAAGTTTCTTTGGGACCCAGGGATCCCAGGAGTCAAGCCATTATAGAAGAGAGTCAGGAGACAATGGCAGAGACTCCAGCCTAACATGCATGATGGAGAAGTAACAAACAGGAAGCAGGTTCTGGAGCCACACTCAGAGAAGCTGGGTAAGCTGGGAGGGAGTTCAGAAGAGGTAGTTACTTTAAAATCCCGTGCAACAGATGTTAAGATTCCATAATTCTGTAGTGCAGTTCTTGCAGGATGATTTAGAAGTCGTCAGCTTCATTGTTTTCCTCTCTCAACAGTGATTCCTGTCTCCAAATGCAACTGGGAATCACCAGAGCTGTTGTTAATGGGAAAAAATAAATCGTATGTTTGTGGAGTCCTTTATCCTTTGCAAGTGCCAGTCATTCCAAACCCACAGTTCTGTAAGGTGTGTAAGATTCACTGATGATGGAGTGTAAGGTTGCAAAAGTTCAGCAGTTTGCCAAGGTTACTAGCCTGTAATGATAGAGTCTGACTTCTGTTGGTTCCTAAATATCTTGCTTGGGACTGAGGTAAACAGGGTATAAGAGACCATTTGGGGAACGCCTCTCCATGAAGCTGGCTTTCCTCTTCCTCCACAGAGTTATCCTAATATTAATATCTTTAGCTAGGGATAGATGCAACTCATAACTTGAGAGGAAATCCTCACTATTGGGTTCCAAATATTTGTCCCTTCTGGGCCAGTAGCTTCTTCTATCCCACAGTGCTCCTTTACCTTTTCTCTACCTGTACCAACATGCTGGGCTCATGGGTGAAAGGGAGATGAGGGCAGGGGTACTTGGGAAAACACTGCATCCTCATCACAGAACTTGATGATGACAGTGGTCTTACTAATACCACACTTCGTCTCAACTTACCTTGGCATGATAAATTAGGTACTGCTGTGTTTCTATTAAGCTGATTAGGGAATTCAGACTAAGGGAGATTAAGCTTCTTGGCCAAGGTCACAAAGCAGGTATGGGGGTAGTAAGGTGACCCCATGCTGCCTGGCTCCAGGGCCCACCACTTAAATACTGTAAACACACACTGGGGTCCTCCCAGCCTCAGCCACGTCAGCTGCTGTCCCCAGAATGTCCATTTCGTTCTTACTCTCTCCTAACTCTTGCTTCCCTGACTAATGTCTCCTGAGTCAATCAAGTCTTAAAAGGGAAAAGAGACAAGCTTTTCACGTGGGTTGGGGTAGCCATTTTTCCAGTAGTTCCAGTGTTAGGAACTACAGTGTTGGGGTCTAGCGCCTGCAGATGATGAGAGAACATCTATTGACTTCTAATCTGAAGCAACTCAGACCTTCGTGTCATTCTGCAGTTTGGGCAGACCCCTGGTTCTAAACAGCCCCCAGGCTGAGATGGGTATGGAACACGGGCTCGGATCAGTCTGGGCTCATCATCTCTTTCCCTGCACCCACTGAGGTGGGTGGCTGAGAGGGTGTGTAAGCCGGGTAGGCGGACAAACAAATGGGTTTTCCTTTGGAGTAGGAGTGCTGGGTGCAGACCAGCGAGAAGGATGCGGCTGCTGACGGGTAGGTGGGGGTAGAGCTGCCACTTGGTTTTGTACACGCCTTCTTCCAAGTAAAGCTTGTGGAGGGGAAGCTCAGGAGAACAGCTGAGTGCTCAGGGTTCTGGTGGCCCTTTGATCTGCTTACGTCCCAACTGCTCCCTGGCTACAATCTTCTTCAGCCTCAATGGGGGACTCACAAGGGGCACAGACCCCATGAAGGTGAAGGAGAAAGCATTGTGGGGAGGCTCAGATTAGGGGACTTCACTGCTGTGCTTGCTGTGGTGACCAGACCTTTGCTAGAGTTTTATCTCCCCCTGTGTCTGGCCCCATTGGCTTCATTAGGAGACTGCCTCAGCAAAGTCTCCCAGTTACTTAATAGGCCAGCATGCCTGGGGTGATGTCTAGGTTTGGGTTGTGATCAAGTGCTTCATGTCTTTTTTTAAAAATTTTTAAATGTTTATTTTGAGAGAGAGAGAGAGAGAGAGAGAGAGAGAGAGAATGAGTGGGGGAGGGGCAGAGAGAGAGGGAGACACAGAATCCGAAGCAGACTCCAGGCTCTGAGCTGTCAGCACAGAGCCTGACACGGGGCTCGAACTCGAGAACTGTGAGATCATGACCTGAGCTGAAGTCAGATGCTTAACTGACTGGCCACCCAGGCACCCCTAAGTGCTTCATATCTTAATATCCGGGACCCATCTGTATTCCTCAGAATTTGTTGTTTACACTCCCTTCCACCCTCCCAATGTCCCTGTGATCTAATTTTTTCTTCTACGAATTTGATAGTTTTCTAGTGCTTCTGGGAGAAATGGACCATTTATTTTCTAGGCGGGTCTCTCCATAGCTTGTGTTACAGGAGAGTCAGTTACTCTGATGAACTTTTCCTCAGTCTGATTCCCACTGGTTCATATGATCCAGTTCTCAAAACTTCTGGCATGCCAAGGCACCATTTTCCATTTCCCAGCACTCCTACTCACTTTTTTTGTTTTGTTTTGTTTTTTACATTTTGTTGTAATTGGCTGCAGAGTATGCCATAGAGAAGCTATACTTTAGATCTGTATTGTTCAATCTGGTAACCACTAGCCACATGTTGCTATTGAGCAGTTAAGTGTGGCTAGTTCCAATTGAGATGTGCTGTGTGTACAAAATCCACACTGGATTTCGAAGAAAATAGATGTGTGAGTTTTTAGCGTACAGGTATTGATTATGTGTTGAAATGATGGTATCTTGGATATCTTGACGTTAATAAAATATGTAACAAAGATTAACTTCACCTGTTTCTTTTTGCCTTTTTATTTTCTTTTATTTTTTTACATACAATTTTTTAAATGTTTTATTTAGCTTTGAGAGACAGAGAGAGGCAGAGCATGAGCAGGGGTGGGGCAGGAGACACAGAATCTGAAGCAGGCTCCAGGCTCTGAATTGTCAGCACAGAGTCCGAGTCAGGGCCCGAACCCATGAATCATGAGATCATGACTTGAGCTGAAGTCAGACGCTTAACCAACTGAGCCACCCAGGCGCCCTGCTTTTTGCCTTTTAAATTGTGTTTATTGAGGGGCGCCAGGGTGGCTCAGTCAGTTGAGTGTCCAACTTTGACTCAGGTCATGATCTCACGGTTTGTGGGTTCGAACCCCACATCAGGCTCTGCACTGACAGCTCAGAGCCTGGAGCCTGCTTCAGGTTCTGTGTCCTCCCTCTCTTCCCCTCCCCTGCCCCCATTCTCTCTCTCTCTCTCAAAAATAAATAAATGTTAAAAAAATTAAAAATAAATAAAAATAAAACCTGTTTATTGAAAATTTAAAATTGTCATTTTATTTTTATTTTTTTTAATTTGTTTTTAATTTACATCCAAGTTAGTTAGCATATAGTGCAACAATGATTTCAGGAGTAGATTCCTTAATGCCCCTTACCCATTTGGCCCATCCCACCTCCCAAAACCCCTCCAGCAACCCTCTGTTTGTTCTCTTTATTTAAGAATCTCTTATGTTTTGTTCCCCTACCCATTTTTATATTATTTTTGCTTCCCTTCCCTTATGTTGATCTGTTCTGTGTCTTAAAGTCCTCAAATGAGTGAAGTCATATGATATTTATCTTTCTCTAATTTCGCTTAGCATAATACCTTCTAGTTCCGTCCACATAGTTGCAAATGGCAAGATTTCATTCTTTTTTTTTTTAATGTTTATTTATTTTTGAGAGAGAGAGAGAGAGAAAGAGAGAAACAGAGCATGACCAGGGGAGGGGCAGAGAGAAAGAGGGAGACACAGAATCTGAAGCAGGCCCCAAGCTCCGAGCTGTCAGCACAGAGCCCCATATGGGGCTCGAACCCACAAACCATGAGATCATGACCTGAGCTGAAGTCGGAGGCTCAACTGACTGAGCCACCCAGGCTCCCCTTGATTTCATTCTTTTTGATTGCCGAGTAATACTCCGTTATCTTCTTTATGCATTCATCCGTCAATGGACATTTGGGCTCTTTCCATACTTTGGCTATTGCTGATAGCACTGCTATAAATTGGGGTGCATGTGCCCCTTAGAAATAGCACACCTGTATCTCTTGGATAGATACCTCTTAGTGCAATTGCTGGGTCTTAGGGTAGTTCTGTTTTTAATTAAAATTGCCACTTTAAATGTGTTTACTGAAAAGTTAAATGTGTTTATTGAAAATTTAAAATTATATTGAAAATATAAAATTTAAAATGCTCACATTTGTGGCATATATTTTATTGCCAGTGGACAGTGCTGCTTTAGATTAACCACCATGCTTCATTCTGATTGCCTCCAGAGTCTTGAGGATTTAAAATTTCTACCATTATGTGTGATGTTGACTCTCGATAAGTTAGATATTTTTATTATGTATTTTTGGAAATTCTCAGAAAAATGCCCTATGTGTGTCCTGAGACACCCTACTTAATGGTTGTGTTTCTTCTTAAATTAGTCAAAACTGACCAACTATTTTTTCTTAAGCAAGGGCACTGGTGTCTTTAAGTGTCCTACAAAAAAAAAAAAAAAAAAAAAAAAAAAACAGGCTTCATATTTGCAATGAAGTAGGAGAATATGCAGAGATTGTAAATCTGTTCAGAGTCCCTTTGGTTTAAAAATAACACAGTACTTGCTTCCTATATTGTCCCATCAGTGTCTGGAACAGGGCAAGATGAGAGTGTGTTTGATGTCCTCATGGTCCGCTCTGAGTAAAGCTGTTGAAGATATGAGAACAGTCTGCCGATGCCAGCAGTCACCCAGTGTTGCCAGCAGAACTTGATGGTAAACATAGGGCAAGCAACCCACTGTTGAGTTCCAAGGCCCTGAAAGTATTTGAACAGTTGAAGAAGCCTTGCTGGGAGCAGTGTGGTTGAGACCTGGCATTACAGTTAATGGGGAACTAAAGGAGAACAAAATCTTTTGATAGGATTAAATCTCTTGATGGAGTCCTATGATTTCCATTTCACTGTGATCTAGAGAATGAAAGTATGCTCACATCTGGAGAGGGGACACAATCCAACTTTGGCAGATCCTAGCACATTATATTGAGGAAGTAATCTCTTATTTTATTCTGAGCTTTGATCAGGAATTGGTATTGATATTTTTCAATTGCCTTTTGGCTGTGGTTCATTAATACTAATTTTTTAAATTAAACATATTAGCTTTTTTTCAAATATGAAAATTTGGAATTATTAGTGTTTTAGGCTTTTCATATCCATTTCTATAGGTGGAATTGTTCTATAATTCTATTTTCATGTCTTTCCCCCCCCCTCTGGTTCAGTAAATTATGTAGCTTTCTATTTAATTTTAGGTTCTGGAATGCTTTATGTAGAGCCTGGGGATTATCGTTCCTTGCGAGTTTGAAAAATCCAAAAAGCTTCCTGGCCCAACGATTTTTTTAAATTGCAATATAATTTACATGTAGTGCACAAATCTCTGTGTACAGTTTGCTGAATTTTACACCCATGTAACCACTGCACTGATCTAGATACAGAACATTTCTATTATCCCAGAAGTTTTCCTATGCCCTATCCTAGTTAGTACCCATGTATGTCCAGAGGTAACCACTATTCTTATTTCTATCATCATAGATTAGATTTGCTACCTCATGAACTTCGTATGAATGGAATCAACCCACATTTTTTTGGGTCTGGATTTTTTAATTCAACGTAATGTTTTTGATATTTATCCATTCTGTTGTTTGAATCATTATAGTTCATTCTTTTTCATTGCTATATAGTACACCATTAAAATGAATATGCCACAGTTTTTTTTTAATCTATTCTCCTGGACACTGGGTTTCTCAGTTTTAGCTCTTATGACTTGAGCTTCTTTGGAAAATTCTATTAAACATGCTTTTGAGGACATTTGTTTTCATTTATTTGGGATATTTCAGGAATGAATTTTCTGGACTATAGGGTGAGTGAATGTTAACCTTTAAGAAAAGCAAACAGTTTGCTAAGTGGTTTTACTATTTTATATCCTTATCTGGGATATATGAGAATATTAATCACTAAATTTGATATTGTCAATTTTTTCATTTTAGTCATTCCAGTGGGTGTATAGTAGTATCTTATGATCTTAATTTGAATAATAATGTGGGGCATCTTTTTATATGCTTATTGTTGGCTTAAAGAAATTTATTATAGATACTTATTTTTTTCAGTTTGTTTCATATTTGTTGGTCTTTGATTTTTTTGACTTCTTGACTGTTTATTTTAATGGTCTCTTCAGATATCATGTATATTTATTATTGAGCCAATTTTTCAATTTGTTTTTGTTTAGCAAATGTCTCATCCAGATTTTCACATTTATTTCAGACATTTTAGGAAAACTTGAAAATTTGTCTCTGTAACTGTATCCTTTTTTTTATTCCTAATCTTCTATACTTATTTTTTAATTGGCCAGTTTTGTCTATTTTGTTGACCTTTTGAAAAGAAAGCTCTCAAATTATTTTATCATTTTACTGCTTTTATGTTTTCCATTTTGCTAATATATGCTTTTAAGTTTATAAATTTCTTAATCCTTTGTATTTGAATTTTTGCCATTCTTTTTTCTATCCTTTTCAGCTTAATACTTTATTTTTTCCTAGTTTATTAGTAAAAATGAGGCATAGATTTTTCTTTTTCCATGATGACTCTGTGTGTACTGTGTTCCTTCTCAATAGAGCAGTGTTACTTTGTTCTTTGATGTAAAAATCATTTAGTAGAGCCTTAATATCCAAGTATATCACATGTTTGTTATTAATTTGTCATTTTACTGCACTGCCTTGAAAAAATGTGGTCTCTACAACTTCTCTTTTTGGACCATAAATTCTACAAGAATTTGTGGTACTTTAGTGTCCTTCATGCAGTTGCTAGAATAAACAAATGTGGTGATACCATCAACTACCATCAAATCTACAAGTAGAAAACTTGATCTCACAGTGATCAAGGTAGACACAGTCCTGGCCCTCACGGTGGGTCGGCTCTGGAGGCTACATCCTGTTAAGCAGCCCTGGTGATATTTGAGCTCATAACTCCTTATTTAGAAGACCGGGGCTCTAATTGCCTGGCTGGGGGGGGGGGGGGGCGGGGGAAAAGTGAATGCCAGCCCATTGACTTTGAGGGATCCACAGAAACAAGAGGGGAAGCCCACATTGGTCACCTCTCATTTCTTGGGTAAATATTGGTCATATACTTGTTTTTTCCTCTCCGAAGTTAGTTATTATTTAAAACTTTTTAATGTTTATTTATTTTTGAGAGAGAGACAGCAGAGTGAGGTAGGGGGTGGGGGCAGAGAGAGAGGGAGATGCAGAATCCAAGCTGTCAGCACAGAGCCCAACTCGGGGCTTGAACTCGTGAGCTGCGAGATCATGACCTGAGCCGAAGTCAGATGCCCAACCAGCTGGGCCACCCAGGCATCCCTGAAGTTAACCATTTCATTTAAATCATCAGATTTATTGGCAACAAATTACATACGGTACTTTTTTAAAGTTCTCTCTCCTCTGAATCAGTGATTATATCTGACCTTCCTGCCTTCCTGGTGGCATTGCCAAGTCTGCCATCTCTGTTCTTGTGACCCACTGATCATTCTCCCACCCTTCCTCTGCCTGCACCCCCCACCCCCAGCTCAAGGAGATCTCTTTCTGGTTTGCTGGGAGGAAGCTTCACTTCACCTCCCAATTCTAGTCCAGACATTTTTTTTCTTTACCGGTAAATTCTGGCTTCACTCTGGAGCTCAGGCTTTTGGAAATAAAAGCCAGGAAAACTTGTGAACCATTTCTGCTTTCCTGCCATGTCTGTATCCTGAGGCAAGGAGCATAGAGCTAACTGTCTATTGAATGGGAAGAAGTGAAAGTGAAGAGCGAGGAAACAAAACCTTCTAAGATTAATATGTCAAAAATTATTCTATCCATGTTTTTTGAGGTATTCACAAATTGAGAGAGTTCAAGGACCCTTTAATTTTCCACTCCTTGAACTGGTTGACTTGCACCACAAGTTTTGTGGTTCCCGGTGCTTTTGTGCACCTCTACCACAGAGAGGACCTGACCCTTTTGCTGTGTTCTCTGACCAAGAGAAAATGGTTATATTTATGGATATTCTGAAGCTGACTGTAGGCATCTCTCTTTAATTATCAGATGTGTGAATAAAAAACATTTCCTCCCCCATAATGCTTTACTCTGAGAACTCATTCTGTCTGTGCTGCCGTCTGTAGGACTTTGTCTCAGTAATACCTGCTAACCTGCAAAGTGTAACCAGTTCTGGAAGCACTCCCCACTAAAAGTCAAGCTCCAAAGTTAGACTGTTGGCTGCAGTCCCAGATCTGTTGTTCAATAGGTGTGGGACCTTGGACAAGTTACCTAATGAGTATAAATATCAACTTTTTAAATGTAAAAACTGAAGAAAATAGTACCTATCTCATAGGGCTGCTATGAAGAATGAATGAGTTAATACATATTATACTTTCATCCTAGTGAAAGAAGTACTGAACTTAACCCTTATGACTTGTGGGTATTTAATTAAAAAAATTAAGATTTCTTTTTGAAAATTCTGAAGTGTGTATATATGTGTGTATATACACATACATATTCATGCTGTCATGCAAATTATTTTTAATTTTACAAAGGTAGAACAAAAGCAACATGAAAATGGGAAACCAAAGTGTCATCTCAGAGTTCCTCCTCCTGGGTCTGCCTATTGAGCCAGAGCTGCGGGACCAGTTCTATGTCCTGTTCCTGCTCATGTATGTTACCACCATCCTGGGGAACCTGCTCATCATCATTCTCATTCGCCTGGACTCCTGCCTCCACACGCCCATGTATTTGTTTCTCAGTAACTTGTCCTTCTCTGACCTCTGCTTCTCCTCTGTCACAATGCCCAATCTGCTGCAGAACATGCAGAGCCAGGTCCCGTCCATCCCCTATGCCGGCTGCCTGACCCAGATGTACTTCTTCCTATTTTTTGGAGACCTGGAGAGCTTCCTCCTGGTGGCCATGGCCTATGACCGCTATATGGCCATCTGTTTCCCCCTGCACTACACCACCATCATGAGCCCCAAGCTCTGTCTCTCCTTGGTGGTGCTGTGCTGGGTGCTGACTGCTGCCCATGCCATGTTGCACACCCTGCTCATGGCCAAGCTGTCCTTCTGTGCCGACAACATAATCCCCCACTTTTTCTGTGACATGTCTGCTCTGCTGAAGCTGGCCTGCTCTGACACTCGAATCAATGAGTTGGTGATATTTATCATGGGAGGGCTCATTCTCGTCATCCCATTCCTACTCATTGTCATGTCTTATGCACGAATCGTGTCCTCCATCCTCAGGGTCCCTTCTGCCAGGGGCATCCGCAAGGCCTTCTCCACCTGTGGCTCCCACCTCTCCGTGGTGTCTCTCTTCTACGGGACAATCATTGGCCTCTACTTGTGCCCTTCAGACAACAATTCTACTGTTAAGGAGACTGTCATGTCCGTGATGTACACTGTGGTCACCCCTATGCTGAATCCCTTCATCTACAGCCTGAGGAATCGGGACATAAAGGGAGCCTTAGGAAGAGTATGTTCCAAATGGACGATTCAGCTTTCTCTGGGACAGGGACTCTAAAGACTAATGTATGTTTTCAAACAGTAGGCATAATATTGACAATGAGTAGTATTCTGTAAAGTCTAGTAAGCACCAAGCTAATGCAGCCCAGGGGGTTTTCTCATTGTCACTAGGGGTGGGTCCATCTCACATCCTGGGTTTACCACAGAATCTGGGGGTGATGTAGCACAAGGACTGACATGTAGTGGACACTTGGCAATTATTATTCAAATTTGAATATATATCATTCTAACGCTAGTGTTTACTGCACTCAGAGAAAGTACAGTAGTTCCTAATTCTCTAATAAATAAATTCAAATTTCTCAGCCCCTTCAGTGCTTTGCTTCTGCCAAACATGTTTATTTCATGAAGAATGTCTTCCAGTTTATTATGTACTGCTTTTGTAATTTTTTACTCTCCAAGGATCATCATTTATTCCATTGCTTACCTATTTATTTAGTTTT